AGAGAGAGAGAGAGAGAGAGAGAGAGAGAGAGAGAGAGAGAGAGAGAGAGATTGCATTGGGCAGTTGCCTACACCATGAATGCATCACCCATCATCTCTGTTTTTGCAAGCGAAGCTGCAACAGGTCATCTTGTTTTTTTTAAATGTTGTAATATTTTTCCTGGAAAGAAGACAACCTCATCTATGGATTCTCAAACTTTCATATTTTTGTGTGGGTTCCTCCGGGCACAGAAAATCGCCAAAGTTGCGTCTTGCAAAACGCCTGTTTCGTTGCGCCCGACCTCCCTGTTTTGAGAAGACGGGCCTCAACACCTGGGCCTGAGGGCCCTTTTGCAGTTCACTTTCTCAGTCCGTGTTTTGGCAGGTCCTTACAATTACCTTAACCACAGTGCAGTGAAACTCTATCAGGGAACATCTAATTCTTGCAGCACCAGCAACTCTCTCAACTACACCCTGAAATGCTGGCAGCCCAACACAGGGCCACCGGGCCAGGGGGCGGGGTAGGAGGTGAGAGAGAGAGAGAGAGAGAGAGAGAGAGAGAGAGAGAGAGAGAGAGAGAGAGAGAGAGACGGGGGAGAGACATAAGCGGAGAGATGGGGAAAAGGAGACGGTTGGAAGAAAGTGCTATGGATCTCAGAATATCAGCCTTAACATTCCAACGTATTTGCTGCAAACTGTAGAGCTCCCCGATGTCAAATGTTCTCGACTTCGTTTAATAGGGAACTGAGAACATGAGCAAGCAGGAACTTGATTGAATCTTCTCAGTATACAAGTTTAACAATACGTAACTTGCCTGTGTCTGTTGTGCTCTGATCACAGATGAGGAAGATTTTGACGGAAATCCAATTTGACGATCAGCAACGCTTCAAACAGTTCGTCATGCAAGCAAAAGCAAGGATGGAGGTATGCAGAAGCCTTTTTTGGACCCAGAGTATGCCAAGCTATGTCAGAAACTCTGACAAAGGTTTCTACTTTGATCTTGTTAAATATCCTACATTTTTGGCTTACTTCATAAACTATGATACCTAAACAGGGCATTCAGCCATTTCTCAGTTTTTCGATGGCCTGTTTGTGCTGTTCGTAACTCTTCTTCGGCTCCTACAAGTGCTCGACCTCTATGTCCTTGCTCCTTGCTGATACCCATGTCATGCGTTATCTGCTCCACCCTTTGTCCGGCGGTGCTCCAGCCTGCATGTTTGCCTCGTCAACCACCTCGTTGTTTCCTTTAACATAATCCCCTTCCTCACCATCATGCGTGTTATCGTGACTCCTGTCACCCCCCCCCCTCCTCCTCCTCTGCGGACCCCCATCAGCTTTCTATAGAAGCTGTACTCATTTTCTTTCTGTTGCTATTTCCTCCCCAACCTTCCCCTCGTTCACTTCCTTTCGCTTTCCCGCCCTTTTTCTCCTCGTCTTTGGCTTCGGTCACCCGAAGTATGATGTGACAACAAATGCACTTGATGGTGACAGGTTGCGGCATCCTTGTCGAGAGACTCCCCCCCCCCTCCCCCCCTTTCTCACTGTGTGTGTGTGTGTGTGTGTGTGTGTGTGTGTGTGTGTGTGTGGATTGCTGAATGTGGAAATTACACGTCGGACATGAATAGAAGTGAAGACCAACTGGGGGCTTGATCTCTGTGAAAGCATTTTGGGTTCCCCTGATATATCATCGTGAGTCCTATCACAGTTTGTTTCTTGTTACATTGCTTTGTCTGGTGTGGTTACTGGAGCACACCTGAGTATTGGGAACAACACTTGTAGTGATTGTTAGTGAGGTTTCAAATGAATTAAACTTGGACTGTGGTTTGTCTTGGTTTTGGTCCTCCATCTCCCAGAGTCGAATTATTGGGAGTGGACACGGAATAGCAGCATCACGATTGGATGCAAAAATGAACACTGCAGGCTGGGTCACTGAGCAAATGGGTGGACTCAGGTATGGCCACTGTTAGCCGTTAGTCTCCCTCACATGAGCGTGCCTGTGTTGCAATTGGGTTGCCTGCCAGGGAGTTCGTTGACTTTCTTTTTGTGTATCTGTAACTTTCTGACCTGTTTTTTTGTTTTGTTTTTTGTTTTCCACGGCTTCTTGTTGTAAATACGAATGTCATTATGTTCCACTTCACTTTGAAATCAGCTTTTTCTTTTCTTGTGCCCGAAGCTGTAGCAGGTCAGCTGTCTAGCTGCTTCCGGACACTTCCTATTGGCAGGGGCCCGTGATTTTCGACTACCAGCCCCCGCGAAGCAAAGTTACCAAATGTATGAACTTTTGCGAGCTTCGAGCACCAACCCAAAATGTTTTGTTGCCCCCCCCCCCCAAAAAAAAAAAGGGTTCTTTAACAGGCAGGAGGGCATCTGTTAAAATTGGAACGATACAACCATGTTCCCTGTGCAAGGATGACATGCATAAATCGAGAAATGGTCCAAATAAAAAAATGAAAAAAAAAGAAAAGAAATAGACAAAAAACGATTAGTATGCAAACGTTTTTCTGTCAAAATATTTTTTTGGCTCTCTTTTCTTCTGTTTTTTCTTTTTTTGCTTTTCAGACTTGTGCAAAGTTTTTTTTTTTCTTTCCGTGAAAGATCACCACTCACTTTTCTTTCCGTGAAAGATCACCACTCACTCTACACCACTGATTTTTTCGGAATCGGTCACCAACGATTTTGCACGCAAAAAAAATAGTTAAAGTCGCAGTATTGCAAAACTTGTGCACGCCTGCTTACCCCTCCCCCTCCTCCACTGTGGCTGGTAGGCCAACCAGTCCCACAGCCAGTGCCTATGCTTGCACGACTTTATTGATTGTGCAGCGAGAACTGGTAGTTTAATAACCAACCAAGGTAATTGGTTTAGGCAGCCACTGCCTATCTGTTGAATCCGTGCTTCATTAATTCATCAAGGTGTGATTGTTCAGTTGTCGGCAACGAGTGGTGAAGATGTTCTTTCCCGGTCGCTTTCATGCTGGGGATGGGGCGTCAATGACGTTGATTGATGACCGGGAAGGTAGGTAACTTCGTCATGTGCAGTATATGCCAGCAAGTTCAAGAGCTTTCAGTAGTATGATCAAAGCGTCGTAGCGATCTGTGAAAAAGGTGGTATGTGTAGAGCCACTTTAGCTGTACTACCTTCTTCCCCCGAATACGACGTACGGTCATTCTAGCTGTATCTAGATTCTAGACTGAAAGATGTGTCAAATACAGCTACAACGACCCTATGTTGTATTCGGGGGAAGAAGGTAGTTTCTGGATTAAAAAAACAGGGGCTGAAATGAACTGTCGATGTTGATATGGGATAGATGAGAGGTGCATAATGGTATCTGGGTGGGTGGAGAAACAATTTGTGCGTGCTGGTAGCAGGGTGTACATACAATTTGTTCGGTCCAAGAGTCCAAGGGGAAATTAGTTGACTCCGCTGCAGTGGATCTGGAAGAGTTAGGCGGAGCAGCAATGTCATCCTTCCGGTAGAGTTCGATATTGCGACAATTTTGCAGTTGACCCCATGGTGCCGAAGACTCCTATGCTCAGCAGGAATTTGAGGAGCAGCATGGAACTTACACTTGGGTATGGCGGCAAGTTTGGTGTCGATGCCAGGTATAATGGCAAAAGCAAACATAAAGTGGGCTATGAAATGACAATTCTCACGTGAACAACCAGTGCCCCCGAGCCTGTTTTCGCCGTGAGGATTTGCACTGCGCAGTGCGCACCGGAAAAGAAGGATCAGCCAGCGATGCACTTTTGTTCTCTTGTCGCTGGGGTCATCAGCCATTTTGGTCCGGTAGCATGGTTCATCCAAAGAACCTGGATTGATGCAGTTTTGATTGTCTAGTTTGCCTGGGCGAGGTGCTGGTCTTTTTTAAGAAAAAAGAAAAAGAAAAAGGAAAAAGGAAAAAAAACGTTCGGAAGGAAGAAAAACATGGTCCCAAGGCTTTTGCAGACGGCAAATTGTTCAGTTGCCAAAGGATTGATGCTTAAAACACCAGAGTACGTTTGGCAGCCATTTTTCTTGGATGGGGCGTGCATGCGGCCGCGATATTGGGGGGGGGCGGCCTACTGGAGCAAAATGGCTGGTGGTGCCAGCCGAAAGAAGGCCCTCATCACCGTCTCGTTTTTGTTTGGTGCGCAGGGCAGGCGTTGGGCAAGAGAAGGGTAAAAAAAGGACTGATGGTTCAATCCTGCAGGCCGCCATGACGAATGTGCAGCCTCCTGGAATCCGGGAGTCGACTCGGAGGCTGTGACAATTGGAACCACCTCTACCCCCGATTCGGCCCCTTCTCTGCCTACCCTGATATTTTTGTCAGATGGGTACCTGTGCCTTCTTTGGGCAGGCCGAAAGGGGAGGTGCCATCCATCAAAACCTCCCCAGCAGGTCTGGACGTTCAAAAGGACTGATGGTTCAATTCTGCAGGCCACCTTGACGGATGTGCAGCCTCGTGGAATCCTGGAGTCGATTCCAGGAGGTTATGACAATTGGAACCACTCTACCCCCGATGCGACCCCTGCTCTGCTGAGCCTGACAGATTTTTGTCAGATGGGTACCTGTGCTTTCTTTGGGCAGGCTGAAAGGGGAGATGCCGCCCGTCCAGACCTCCCCAGCAGGTCTTAAGCTGGCCAATGTGCAGCCACCTACCCATGGAATAAGCTAGAATGCATCCTCTTTTTTTTCTTTTTTTTTTTGGGAATTGAATGCATCCCACAAAGCTCCAATTCAAAGAACGCATGCTGCTTTTAAGAGTTCAATTCATAATTCAATATTCAGCTGCCCCCCCAACCCTAACCCAGGTCGCCCTTGCTCAGGATTCACCCCTCATACGCATACACCACTCAACTATTACGGCCCCTGGGGGAAATTCAATTTGACCTCTGAATCCCTAATTTAATTATTAAAAATTTTAGTTATGCGCAAGGAAAATGAGCAGTAGCGAGATGACAATATCCAGAATGCACAATCACATTGAAAGCCAGAAAGTATCACAGTGTCCAGAAAGCCGCATTGCACCAATATGACACCAATGGAGAATCATAACACTGAAAACCAATGTCAATGAGAGCTTGCTCTCGCCACCACCAATACAAGAGTCCAGGACCTTCTCCCTACTTGGCGCTCGGTGCCCAGCCTACTTCCTACACAGCTACAATCTGTCTACTAATTGACAATGCAACTGTTGACGTCAGCATCCCACGAAGTACTTGAAGATGTTGCCCAATGCAGATCATCGCCCTCACATCATCATCATCATTCTTCTTCTCTCTCTCCCTTGACTCACACCCACGTCTTCCCTCTGTACACCCGAAGACCACCCTTGCGGCTAACTGTAGTCCAAGCCTCAGCCAGCTATGGAGGCTGGGCTATGGCGTTGCCCTCAGCAGCACCCTGCTTCCTGCACGACCGCACATGTGCAGCACCTTGCCCTTAGCGCTCAGCAGCCCACGAGCAAATGCTCCAGCAGCGCTGCCGATCATCTGGCACGTGCCTGAATGAGTGCCCAGGCAGCGAGCTCTTCCTATATGGAAAGAGCCTGCCTGCCCCGGCTGCGTGGCTGGCCTGGGCCTCTGCCCTGAAGCTTCTGGTAGGCCCCACGAGGCTGTGCCTCTGTTGCAGCTGTTGGGCCTCGTTCGGTTGGGCCTCCCAATTGTCTATGTATGAGGCTGTGATTCTTGCCCAGGACCTGCCTTTCAGGAAAGGCCTGGAAGGTCGTGGAAATGTCTTTTTGCTGCTCGGCCTGTGTTTTCCTCAAACAACTGGCGNAAATGTCTTTTTGCTGCTCGGCCTGTGTTTTCCTCAAACAACTGGCGCGTCACAACTGCCTGGACCCCAAATACGAAATTGACAGCAGAGGGCCTCTTTCGAGATTTGTTAGGCTCGCCTTCACTTAGGGCGGGCACTTCTGTAACAGGGCCCCTTAGGCCTGCCGAGGACCCAGATCCGCGCATTCCCTCCTCCTTTACTTTGACAGTCTGAGAAGTCTTCTATTCTGCAGGCATCTTTCCCTTGAGTTCTCTTTCATAGCCTGCAATCACTTGAGGTGCTGTTCGCTGGAGTTCTTCTCTAGTGAACCACCAATCTTCGTTGGGATCAAGATGGTGTCTGAACCTGACACGATATTGTATCCTCGGCTTGGAAAGTCCGGCCTCTGCCCGGCGGCTAGGCACTGGCATCATTCAATGCTCCACGATTTCGTCGATGTCGACTTCACCATCCATGGTTGGGGGCAGCATTGACCGTCTAGAGGGAAACTGTGCGGTCGGCGAAAGGTGCCAGCTTTGAGGCGTGAAAGACGGGGTGTGTGCGTAGGTGTGGTGGGATGCGAATCACATAGGAGGGTCCATCCATCTGTTCGCCCACTACGTCTAGGACCTCCCAGGGACCGTAATACTGTGGCATTAGTTTTCTGGAGATCCCTAATTCCTGTCCAGTTCAGATGACTTTACCCAGACTCTGTCCCCTACCTGAAAGTTAGATGGCCGTCTGTGTTTGTTCTCAGATGCAATGATAGCATCCTGAGACTTCCTAATGTGTTCAGCGGCCTGCTGCAGCATCTGTTCGTACTTGACAGCAAATTCTATGCTGCGAGATGCTGCAGTTGACTGACCCTCAGGCAGTAGAAAATCCAAGGCGGATCTGGGCTTCCAACCAAGATGCAATTGGTAGTAGTGTTGTGCGCAGCGTTGTTGTACAGGCTGGCGACGAGAGGCAACTTCTCGTCCCAGTCATCCTGATTTGGCTTGATGTAATGCCTTAATAGGTGCTGCACTACTCGGTTCATCTGTTCCACCTGTCCGTTTGACTCTGGATGGTTCCCTGATGTCATCTGCAGTCTGGTTCCCATCTGTTGGGCTGTATTCTGCCACGGTTCGCTTGTAAAGCGAACATCCCTGTCATTGACAATGGACTTGGGCAATCCAAAATCCCGCACCCAGTTATCCATAAACAGTTTGACGACA